AAATACTCGACCATGGTGGTCTTAAAAGACCCAAACATCTTCGGCAACTCAACCCTGAAAAGTGCAGCAACCTCATCATGCAGGATCTCCCAAATCCTGGTATCCAACTCACCTGGTCTCATATGGCAAATGGTCTCGGGCACTGCTGATCCACCCTGACTGCCCTCTCCTGATCCCGACCCGGATTCGATCACAAATCGCCTCGTAACCACCATGCTGAAAATATACCAGGAAGATATCAGACATTCCATATAATAACGGGAAACCAACTCCCAACCAAAACCCTAGGGGTTGTGACTTCCTTGCTACGCGTTGTTGGGTTTTATGTACTATAACACTCATACGGTACACATACAACCCTAATGCTTTGGATCTAAGTTTTCTCTAGTTATACATGCAATTCCATTTTATCCGAAGCATACACCCTAGCTAACATGCAATTTGAGATATACAACATAAAAATCTAGTTAGATGAATACCTCTTTGTTGTAGCTTGTAGTTCTTGGCCTTTCAAAATCTTAGAACCTCAAGTGTAATGCCTCAAATGGTTCACAAAACACCACCAACAGTTGGAGGACAATGATATAGAGGTGAGGAACCACCAAAACCAGCTCGGGTTTCCTCATGGAACATACGTCACTATTTTACGGTTGAAGGGGTTACATATATAGTGTAGAATTCAAAAGGTCATTTATAAACCCTAATTCGTACACTTAGGCTTATGATCCAACAATTTATTTGGACTAACACTTCATGGACTATCTCATAAGCTTAGCCCATCACAAATCAATCATGGATCATTAGCCCAAACCATATGTATTGCTGATTTACATAATCAGTCCCCGTTAATTTAATTAGTCACATTTGATCACTAAATTAATTCCAAATTAATTCTTGATCAATACTAATTAAATAATATGACTTCTCAATTAATATATTATACTTATAATTAATATATTAATAAATCATAAATAACCTCTTTCTCAAATATCCTTCCTATCAAATTGCTTCGGTAAATGCAACTCAAAATGGACCATGCTACTATCGGGTCAAGTACATACCAATTATGGTGATGGCCTTAGATACCTAATCCAACAGTCTCCCACTTGGATAAGTCTAATAACTATAACTGCCAATGCAACTTCAAAATCTGATTAGCAATCGTAGCTCTCAAAAGCCGTTGTCGAACTCTGACGCGTCCATAAGATAAGGGATCAAATATTCCTTCATTCTACAAGATATCGTATAGACATGAGACATGGATTGTAATCATTCTTTCTATCTAAGTTTTGTTTCCCGATTTCTGATTTATCACGACTAACTATAGACTACAATTGAACACATCAATTTAGTCCAAGCTTGACCAAGCGCTTAGGGTGTCATCACTAAATCATCGAGGGGCCCACAAATATCGCTTTTATCCATCTTAGGGTAAAAGGAACGGATAAACTTCGACTCATATGCTTGTACTATTTACTCATCAAATCACACACAACAATACGTTCTATAACATCAAGTTATTTATGTGTTTACATATTATCAATGTGCAACCGACTTGTAAACAACAACTCATATCTATCCGTTTCAAGAATATAAGATATTATCGTCTCACAATCACTCGTGATGAAATCCATGAAGAGATTCAAGTGAGTGTAGGTTTAATCCAGTACTCAAATCCTATTTTAGGAGTACTCATGAACACTATAGCAAACTTGTGCTATGTGTAAACACTTAGACAATCTACAGTCGGATTCATGACAGTCTTACCTCATTACTTACTTCCAAAGTATGATTGACGGTGGATGTTTGAATAATCTTTATTATTCGGGAAGTAAAACATGAAAAGTGAAACACAAGAATAATCCAATCCAATATGGAGTGAACCATATTGATTACACATTATTCATTGTATAACGTGTCGATTAATCAATTTAATACTTGAATTAAACCAACAGTTATCCCATGCTCCAAGCATGCATACTATGGTTGCCTATGGTCCTTACCTTGAACACATTTCCAATGATGCTCATTTCACAATTCCCTAATCCTTATTATAAGTTTAAGAATACCAGATTCTTGCCACTACTAGAATCTGTTTGAGTCTAAACTTACATGCAATGACCCTTTTGTAATGTCTAGGCACAAAAGTCACAGAGACTTGGCCAATGATAATACAAAGTATTCCATTTGAGAATGTTACAAGACAATTCCCTGGAATTGAAGTCTCACATTCAAAGAGCATTCCTTGAACATCCTTCTTGCATTAAAGTTTCTAACTCACACAAAGATTCTTAATATCCCACTCCCATTATGGAAGCATTTCCATAATTGCCATATGACTATCCATTCTAAATAGAAGCCTATCTATTCATAATTATATCAATATGGTCGAACCATTACTATACTTCCAACTGCCCACAAGCAACCAATCCTCGGTGAACCTTAGATCGTCCTTAACAGTTGTTTAACTACTTTAGTCATATCCGGTTCTAGTCCTTATTCTCTCTTAATGCCTTAGGCATTTGGAAAAGTAGAACACGTGAATATTATAGCATATCCAATCGATCCTATACCCGAAGCATATGGGATACGATTCATAATGTCTCACATAAAGACATGATACTAGACCAGTCTCTTGCTATAATATTTCCATATATAGAATTTCCAATGTTGAAACATTTCAACATTACATTCATATATGCTCATGACTAATTCTTGATTAATACTTCAATCTACACTTTTAGATTCGAAATAAAGTATAAGTATCCTCTCCCTAGCTATAGCGAAACAACTTTTCAAATATTGCAACTTTTCAATTTAAAACTTTGCTTGCTATAAACAACATTGTTGACTCGCAATACTTAGTATAACAATTATGCTCCCACTAGCATAATAATTACATACTTATTAGCATAAAACTTATGCTCCCACTAGCTTTGACATGTACCCAAAAATCAGCTGGACTTTTAGAAAACAATACTTATTGACTTTCTTACCAAAGTTCAGATTTATGAAACAAGATGCTTTGATAAGACTTTATCTAGGCTTCTCAAACTCATACACCTTTCCTTAGATAGCTCATATGTGTGTCTAAACTATTTCAGAACTTACAGCAGTAAGTCTCGAATGTTCAGACTATTTGCCATTTCTCACAATTCGAACTATGAAGAGGGATGTCGTAATCATAATCAAATTTTAGAACGCAATTAACACAGTTGCTATCTTCTCAAAATCTACTTAGTGAAAGTGTTTCCTCACAATCATTTTCATGAAGTAGAGAGAAACCTCTCACCACTTAGAATTTTATGGTGTATGTGTTCCTATCCATGTGAATTTGTCATTTCCAACCACTATCATAAGACAAGGTTTATGACAAAATCAAACTCATATGGACTGAACTTACTCAATCTTAATTTCTTGCCACTTAGTGGCACAAGGGCCTACCATGTCTTCCAAGTTGTTGAGCAGATCACCCTTACCGATCAATGAACTTTCACTGATCAAGGTGCTTTGCCTTATGAAAACAATTAAGAACTCGTAGACCTCACATGCATAGTCAACTTTAACTGGAATGGGCACATAAACAAGAATATGTCAACACGATAAGTTACAAACCTTAAGTCGTGTGCTAGTGTTAAACAATAGGTTTATTCTTGATTAGTTCGTATTCAAGATCATCAAGACTCCCACTGACCTCTTGACATATAAGATTCTCTTGTCAAGAAACATTCCTTGACAAAAAAATATTCAAGAGTTAGTGCGGGCTCTTTATCAAGAAAAACACTTCATTTAATTGGTCTTAGTTGGTCTTTGTTTTAGCCAAAACATCACAACTACCAATTACAAATGTGCATGAGTAAGAAAACTTTCCTAATCCACATTTCATGATGTGTTATAAACCTAGTTAGGATATGTCACTCAAGACACAATCTCGGAGTATAATTCTTAGACTCGATTTTGGATCGAAGTATGACTTATCCTTTTGACTTTAACCATTTTAACAATTCCCGATACCTCCCCTTAGTCATGTGAATGCACTAAGATATCCTTAGAGGATCAATTGTGACATGGTTCCATAATCATTAGGATGATCATAAAACACGATACTAAAGTACTCTCTTTTCCTTTCAGATTGGAGAAACTTTTATCTTTCTGCCTAATTGATTGTTCTTATTCGTTATGATATACATTGAAACTTTTCAATGTATCAGAATTATACTTAATCTTGTAAGCATAATCATATTTACTAAACTTTTAGTAAATTATGACGAATAGTCTTTATCGTCCTTTGTGGTGGATCTTGACCGGTTCACATCAATGTGTACTAGATCCTTTCATCTTTCACTTGAATTACATACATATGTAAACAACAAATTAGTCCCAATCATTACTAGAAAAATAGCCTTTTACGACGCGCAATGCGTGTCGTAAAACGCTCAGACGACGCGCGAATGCGTGTCAAGGAAGGTCATGTCATAACGAGAGAGGACACGCTTTTGTGCGTCGTCTATTTACGACACACATTTATGACGTGCATTTATGACACACATTTACGACGCGCAGTTATGACACGCAATGCGTATCAAGGAAGGCCCTGTCATAAAGGAAGACGACACGCATTTGTGTGTCGTAACCTTACGACGTGCGTGTTTATGACACGCAATGCGTATCAAGGAAGCCCCTGTCATAAAGGAAGACGACACACATTTTTGCGTTTCATAATTTTAAATGTTTTTAAAATTATATATTTTTGATAGATTTACTAATTTTCAAATTAAATAACACATTAAAAGTCTCATAATACAAAATAAAATACCATAAACAATAAAGATAATTCATTGCACTAGTATGTCAAATACAAATAATCATTCCAATAGTAAGTAAATGTAACACATTGCTAATATTGCATAATATTTATTATAGAAAACAAATCATGTACAACATTAAAAGAAACCCATGACTAAGTTCTCCTTTGACAATCTCCTTTGACAATGTCCTTTCTAAGAGAATAACCTGAATGCAAGAACTTTGAGAGGCTGCAGGGCATGGAAGGAGGTTGCTAGAGCTATCAGAACCTGCACATGGCAAATCGGTACAAATAAGAAGCTTGAAGTTGAAGGACCTGTAGTCGATTTGAAAAACATCCTAGATGAAATTTGTTTAGTGTTGTCCACCATTGTTACCATAAAATATGAGAAAAATTACTACAAATTTCAGAATTTGCAGAAAAGTTGCTGAATTGACATACAAAAGGCACCAATAATAAAATAACTTGACTCATATGTTGTGAAGTATATGCAACAGGACCTCCACCATAAATTAGTAGTTCAGATCCTTTAACCTAAAACCATAAAATTGTGATGATTGATGATAATTAAAGAGTCGGATGCTAAAAGTGTTCAAATTTGAGATGTGATAAGGTTTACCCTAAACTCTCTACAAACGATACAGACATCATATATTCTTAACAAAAAAAGATAAGACCTTGTTATAAAAACTCTCAATCAATTGACATTGTGTTCTGATAAAAAGATTATGACCCTCCACCTATGCAACAAATCAAACACTTCAGAGTCTAAAGACAGAACCTAAGAAAAAAAAAGTCCTGGAGTTTTCACTTTCTTAATAATTTTGAGTCCGGTATATGAATGATGAAATCCCTATTTCGTATCAATAATAAACTTCAGATTCAAACAGGACAACTCACTTGTTATATATAATGACAATCAAACTATATCAAACACAAACAAATTAACCACTGCACATGTTAAATGAAAAAAGTAAAGCATATGACAGTAAGCAATTAAAAAAAAATAGAAAAACCTACCCGAGATTGAGAAAGAAAGGTTTGGCTCTGCTTCTTAGGTATTAGTATAATGGATGAGCGGAGAGACATATATGATTCTGGTTATCCAAACATAATGGGCTCAATTTTTGGGTTGGACAAAAGAAAAGATTGCAAACTTTTTTGTCTGGTCTCAATGGACGTCAAAGTAGTACAAGTAAGCTATCTTCTGTTAATTATTATTTATTAGGTGAGGTCCAGTCTTGTCCCATCTATCACCTATTATGTAGTATCAAACACATCATGAAATGAGAGAAGACTAACCTGAACAAAATCAAGACGATTAGATGTACTTTCCATTTCTGAACCCAAATCCTCTATAATTTTCTCCTGCAATGGGAAATAAACACCTAAGCTTATTTTTTGGTGATCAAATAAAATATCTATCTATCTATCTATGTGAATTGTGAAGTGTGAAGAAGAAGAAGAAGATGATTATGTCCATGCATAAAGCAGATGTGCACCTGTGAAAGGAGTTCGTCATGTATGGTGAGCCCAACAGATCCGATCCTTTCTACACTTGCACTTAGTTCATCTAACTCTTCATCTTGTTGTCTGTTGTACCATACATACAACAATTACATATTATTCACAAATACAGATTTATATATTTCAATTTTTATTATCATTAACACAATCTACTTTGAGCTTTTTTTTTCTTATTCATCTTTAGCATTGTACATTCAACTTCTTATTAGGACCTAAATGTTTTCCATTTGGATGACATTGTGGTAAAAATGTTAAAATAATAAAAATTTATAACACAAAGGAACGAAAGTAGGATGCTATAATAAAAATACATCATCATCCCTGGTTGTTTTTTTTGGTTCAAAAAACAATTTAAGAGGTTATAAAAAGCAGGTAAAGGTATGCTAGATCAACCCATTGGACCTGCTTTTTTAGGTATATCTATCAATAAAATATGAGTATAAAAAAACAATTCATTTGGGGCTAGTAAACAAGACAAGACACTCTTTAAAATGATATATCTAAAGAAATTACAAAAGCAAAAGCTTACCTGATGAGAAGCATCTGTGTGTCTGATTCTGAAGAAATAAAATCATCATTATCTACAGCAGCATATGATCCGGTTCTGGTCCTGTCCTTATCCTGCTGCTGATGAGACTTTGGCATCCGCATTAATTCTTGGTGCATCCCACCAAAGTTTGAACTGCTTCCGGTCACAGTCACTACGTTCTTAATATTTCCCACCTGATTGGTTAGTGGTTACATACCACACATAGAAAATAAGACTCATATCCATATTTACCAAAGTAATAAATTAAAATATTTGTATTGTACCTGAATCCGAGCAGTAGTGGTCCACTTCCTTCGCTTTTCAAGCTCCACTTGGTTTATACCATACAAAGAAGGGTCTCTAGCAGCTACAGAAATAGTCTTTTCCAGCTCATCCACCTTCCCTATCACAAAAATTCATTTTCAGAACTCAAAACAGATTTGATCTGGCTTAACTTGTCTGTATTTCAGATACATACCTGCCATTCAATGCTCTCGCAATTAGAAAGGAGTTCCTTTGTCAGCTGGGATTGTTCCCCGCTGCCAACAGGGACGCGTTCCCATTCATGAAAGCTGCCCTGGAGGCTATCAATCTAATACCCCAAAAAAACAAAGCCTATTTATTAAGAGCTCCAGGAGAAGCAACAATAAAACTTCACTTCAATGGAGAAGCCAACTTACAGAATCTTGATTCTCGTCTTTTACAATGTAAAATGGATCTTGAGCTGAAGACATTTTTATTGCAAATGCAGCCTAAGCTACAGTGAGGTCGTCAATTTTTGTTGTTTGCTTCAAGATGTGATCATATAGTCATACATCTGAAACAAAAATACAAAAATCACAAGAGCTCAAATTTTGAATAAAAACACATGAAATAGACACATTCGAATTCGAGTAAAAATATGAACCAAACTAATTATTTTTCTTGTCTAGTTTGATACTGTCACAGAGAAAAATTGAGCCCATTATGTTTGGTGACTTGTGCAGGAAAAACCTCTCCAACGGCTTCAATTTCTCCTGCAGTGTTTCCATTTTACAATGTTATTATTTTACAATGTTATAAGATCCCTCCCTATGTAATGAATAAACAAATATATTGCTCTTTCTTGCATTTAGCCCTTATTTCGTTGTTAATGAAAAAAGAAAAAAAAAACTTAAGAACGACAATGAGTTTCACCCAATCATTCAGTAAAGATTTTTCTTGTGGATTAATATCTACTACCAAATACCCAAAATACCCTTTTGAAATTTTTATATAACTTGCATATTATTCTTCCAGATTTCCATTATTATCATCTACTATCAAGTTCAAATCTTTCATAAAGAATAATGAATTAACAGATATATGTATATGTGGATAGAAAAAAAAGATATAATACTTACTAGGTGGAGGTGGTGGTGGTGGTGTAGTAGGATTTGGATTGAATCCGTCTAATAGATCCATCATGGGGGAGGCGCCAGGTGTAGGTATAGGTGATACAAGAGTATCCAAAGCACTAAAAGGTGAGGGCGAGGGTTTATTATTTAGTTGAGTCAAGGATAAGAGATCAGATGTAGATGAGCTTTTTTTGAGTAGCAGGAGCAGGAGCAGGACTCAATTGAAGATCAGATGTAGATGAGCTTGTGACAACCCGATAATCCAAGTCAATGTAATGTTCAAAAGGTCAAATATTATAATCTATTTTTGGAATCAATAAAAATAGCGTCAAAAATGAAATGTTCAAAGTCTCAATTGGGATGCATAAAATGTTAGATATCGTGTCAGGGTTTTCAGAAATATAAAGAACACTCAAATCCGAGTTATAACGAAGAAGTTATGACTAATCAAAGATCCGCGACAAAACCGGTAAAACACTGTTAAGCGTAAAAAGTGAAATTTCAATAAAAGACTTTTTAGCCTTAAGTATCCCAATGAAAGTCGTAGATAAGAACAAACCGTGAGCGTACATAAAAAGAACGTCCAAATCTGACTTCGTATGAGGAAGTTATGATTTTTCTAAGTTTCAAAACAGCAGTAGACAGCTAAAAACTCGAAATAAAGATCGAACGATTTTTAGCCGACGCAACCTAAACGAGAATTGAATATCTCGACAATAGTAGTACAACGGTAAAAAGACAGACGAAAACGGACATCGGATGAAGAAGTTATGAATTTTTAACGGATTTATCCTGTCCCGGCCTATTAAAAATTATATAATTAAAAATAATGTCAAAATTTGCCAACGAAGTCTAAACGAGAGTTGTAGAGTATATTCTCACCTACGTGTGGATATAAAGAACGTCAAAAACAGAGCTCGTATGCGAAAGTTACGGATTTTCAAAGATTTGGGCACACACTTCGAGGCTTATCTGAAGGATTACGCCCCACGTACGAGGGTACACCCAACGTACGCAAATGAAGGGCCTTGGATCGACCACATCGCCCCCCTATTCCCTCTACTCCCGTCCCATCCGAAGACCGGAGACCGATGACGTCATCGCTGACGTACGCCCCGCGTACGAGGGTACGCCCAGCGTACGAGGTATGCCCAACGTACTTCGGCGTACGCCCAGCGTACGAGGCCAGGCAGCCCCACTATAAATAAGATGCGAGGGTTCCGACTTCTCTTGCACAATTTCACTATCTCTCCCCCATTTTTCCACTTTCGAGTCTTTCGAAGATACCCCGACGCCCCGGTTCCGTATCCAAGTTCCGACGAAGGTCCGAAGCTCCGAGATTCCCGAAAAACTTACCACTTTCCGGTCGAAGTGCTGCCCGAGAAAAATCTCGTTTTCTTCAAATCACCACACTTTCCAGGTGATTTCATACCCCTTTATTTTTTCACGTTTTTACTATATTTTAGGGGGGGAGGGGAATACAAGTGAAACACCAGAAAAACTTATGTAAAAATACAAATCATTACATGGGATTTCAAATGCTTCGTCTACATTTTTGTTTATAAATGTCAAACAATATTACTACTAATGTCACACTTTACATGCGAAGATAGTAATACACCAAGTTTTATCATTTTTATGGAACACATTTTCGAAAAACTATAATGGGTATAGAGTTATTCATGACATTTTAGATACTATAGACACTATAAAGAGGAAATATTTACATTTACAAGGAAAACGAACTTTTCATTTCGTAAATCTATTGATACTAAATTTTGTGAGACATTTGGCTTCACCGTACTTTCAAGTACGCATTTCAAGTCCTGTATTATAAACCATAATCTCTTGTAGGGAGAGCGTGATACTTGTGTATAGATCTATACGGGATTGACAATCCCGCACCTAAACTGTTAGCTACAGTTAGACCGGCAGGTCTGGGGTGACAAACGTCATAACACTGCAACGCCTGAAGAACGTTGTTACAGGCAGTCTGGGTCAATAGCATGGTTATAAAACTCACATGGAGTATCAAAACATTTTGATTTACGGGGCTATTGAACACATTAGTGATTATATATACATATATAAACTACATGCACTATTTTAGGTATGAAAAATACTTATGCATTCCAATCCTTGGAGCTTTTCAACTACCACACATACATGGAAAATATTGGATTTTCTAGAAACAAGCTCAGTTATTTTATACAGAAAGACATACAATTCTAGTACAAAAACACTTATGAACTCACCAACTTAATTGTTGACATTTTTCAAAACTACTTGTATTTCTCAGGGATTCAGTAATACAGGTAAAACATCAGCTTTTGGAGAAGGGACGCTAAGGCGTCAGTTTTCAAAACTTATTAAATCATCATATTGTAATATTTTTTTGAGACATGTATCACATGCAACAATGTAACTTTTAAATTATATTTATGTTGCTTGTGTTTACTTTCTTTACAAATATTCAACTGTTATGATACTACGTGAAGTCATCCACCCCCGAATGTTTCCGCCATTCTGGTTTGGGGGTGTGACAGATTGGCATCAGAGCATTGTTTATAGTGAACTAAGTATATCGAACCACATAAGATATACAAACTATAAATGCAAAGGGACTAAAACCCTCTGACAAAACGTTTTCGCAAACTATACTTTTAATAAATTAAAATGCTAGTTTTATAAAAGTATAAGTACATGCATGCAACGGTCTAGTATCATAGTCAAAACTATACAAAAGTATTAAGACGAGTTGGACAATACGATTAGGCCTCAGGGTATGTAATCAGATTGAGGATGAATATAGCCTGATCAACTATATTTATCCAAGATGTGACCAACGTATGTCGAGGAATAGTCATAGTGAGCAATGAGTCAAAAGCTTACCAAAGAAAATACTAGAATCAAACTTACAAATTTGAAATACTATAGGAGTATTTTATAGTACTATAAAAACTGTAATAATCGTGCGAACCTCGATATTTAGTTAAAATTGGGAATCATCAAATAAATAGAATTATGCTTATCAAAAATTATCTTTTTACTCTCAAGTTTTATATATAGTCCTCATACCTCTATTCTCGATCAGACGAAATGGCAGGATTTCACATTCCCGGGGATCCCTACTACCCTAACCAGGGTAATGGAGGCTGGATTGAGGAGGACCCAGAAGAAGATACCAAAGAGATTCCCGAGGAAGAGCCAGAAGAGGATTCCGAAGAGGATCCCGAGGAAGACCCAGACGAAGATTTCGAAGAGGAAGGAGATGGTGGGAGAACTGACTCGGAACCAGAGGTCTACAATCCTCCCCGAGGAGCAGCAAATCCTCGAAGGAACTTTCAGGGCCCGGCGCCCCGCTGGGCTGTGGACCTGAAACGATGGAGCAAGGAACAAGGACAACGCCCACCTTATGACATGGGACAACGCTTTTATAACCTCAGCAATGGAGGTTCGGCTGACAGGGCACTCCCTGTCATGGTTTGTCGCATCGCCAACCAAGGCAAGTAAGCAAGAGTCAACGCCGACCGGCTCTTGGACATTGGCGCCACCACTACAGTCACTGCAGTACGTCTTCGTCGTCTGGACGAAGAACATGAACGAACAATAGAGCACACCTTTTCCCTTCAGAAAGACATTATTGTTGCTAGAGCCGAAGTAAGGGAGTTCTGTAAAAGCCAAGCAGCAATGGAAAGGCGCGTCATCGAGGCTGAACGTCAAGTAGTCCGAGCTCAGACTTCCACAACCACATACCACGGTTCGCAGCGTACCACCCGCTCGGAGTAGAGCGCGTACTTTTGGCGCTATGTATATACTTATCGAGTAAGCGTTGGTGCTACTCTTTCCTTTATAAATGTAAACCCGACAGATTGTGAGTACACAATTCGGGGGTCTAAATGCTGTCAAAATTTTCCCGCTTTCATTGATGTACCCTAGACCTATGTAAGGTCAAATTTTCCTGATCGTTGTATCTAATATTAATATCAATGAGATTGACATGCATTTATTATTTCTTTGAGTATTCCATTAAGTTCTTAAAATACTAAGGAAATCATACACTTATTATTGTAAGTTTCCATTAACTTACAAAATTCGGTAATGTTCGGAACGCAAAACGTATAATACTAAGACTTTCCATAATCATTTCTGAAGACTTATCAAGAATTTGTCTCTTAACTTATGGCAGAATCATGCCGCCAAGAAGGAATCCCCGACGCTTCAATACTACCGGAGCACCAACACCACCTCCACCACCACCTCCATCAATGGATGCTGCTACCTTTCAGGCTGCTGTAACGGCTGCCGTAACCGCAACAATGGCACAAATGAGTAACAACGGATCAGGAGGAGGAATA